AGGGACAGCGGGGACAGGGACAGCGGGGACAGGGACAGTGGGGACAGGGATAGGGACAGCGGGGACAGGGACAGTGGGGACAGGGACAGGGACAGTGGGGACAGGGATAGGGACAGCGGGGACGGGGACAGCGGGGACAGGGATAGGGACAGGGACAGCGGGGACAGGGGCAGCAGGGATGGGGACAGCGGGCAGGCGGCACCGGGCACGGCCCGGGTTAGGGACTGGGGCACAGAGAACAGGCTGCTCGGGGAGCAGGGCTCAGGCAGCAGGTGGGACTAGGAAGAGCCGAATCACTGAGCCGGCTGAGCAGGAACAGCCTCGTCAGGAGCAGGGAACAGGCTGCTTAGGGAATGGCAGTCGGAATAGCAACGGGCAGTAGGCGGGATCGGGCCCAACCGAGTTAGCAGCAGTGGGACAGGGAACAGCCTGGATTGGGAAAGGCCGGGATAAGGGACAGCCGGGTTAGGGAACAGGAGAGAATAGGAACAGCCGGGTGGTTAGGGAACAGCCGGGAATAGGAAACAGGTGGAAATAGGGAACAGGTGGAAATAGGGAACAGGTGGAAATAGGGAACAGCTGGGTTAGGGAACAGGCGAGAATAGGAAAAGGCCGGGTTAGGGAACAGCCGGAAATAGGAAACAGGTGGAAATAGGGAACAGGTGGAAATAGGGAACAGCCGGGTTAGGGAACAGGCGAGAATAGGAAAAGGCCGGGTTAGGGAACAGCCGGGAATAGGAAACAGGTGGCAATAGGGAACAGCCGGGTTAGGGAACAGGTGGCATAAGGGAACAGCCGGTAATAGGGAACAGCCAGGTTAAGGAACAGGCGCGAATAAGGAACAACCGGGAATAGGGAACAGGTGGCAATAAGGAACAGCCGGTTAGGGAACAGGCGGGAATAGGGAACAGGTGGCAATAGGGAACAGGCGGCAATAGAGAACTGCCGGGAATAGGGAACTGCCGGGAATAGGGAACAGGTGGGACAGGGGAGAGCCGCGTTAGGAAGCAGGTGGGGCCAGGACCAAGCAGGACAATGAACAGCCGGGTTAGGGAGCAGACGGGATGAGGGACAGACAGGGTGCCTGCACTATGTCTGCCCGCAGGTCCCCCACAGGAGGGAGCCTGGCATACGTCTCTTTCCAATACCTGCACATCCTGTTGTCCTAATTCCCTCTGCACCCTGCTTCAGGTGCTTGACCAACATCTCCAAGCTTTTAGGCTGGGAGCATGTGCAGTAACCCTTACCCTTATTTAAAAGCACTGTTAAATTACTGGGCCTAGGAAGGTCATAACCAAACGTTTTACAAAATCCCATCAAAGTGACATCAGCTCTGCTGACCTGGCACATTTGTGACACCATTAGCAGCTTCTGCTTTGCCCCCTGGCAAGAAGCAATCAAGTTGCAAGAAGCAAACAGCTTGAAAAACCCAACCAAACAATCCACAAGAGATGCGTCGTCGAGGTTCCCTTAACAGCTCTGTCTGCAACCAGACTAAGTTGGATGCTCCAAGCCCTGTCCAACCTGGCCTTGAGCCCTTCCAGGGATGGGGCAGCCACAGCTTCCCTGGCCAACCTGTGCCAGGGCCTCACCACAGCAGTTGGAGCTGGGAAGCAGTTTTGGGGGGAAGAGTAGAAGCTTTGGGCAGCATTAACTCAGGGAAAGGCAAAGTGAGAAGGAACAAGCTGGCTTTTCCTGAGCGGGCGTCAGGCTCTCAAATGGTGGCCCATGGACATGGTGTTTGCCAGGATTCCATGTTTCCCTTGGACAATGACCCAGAGACGTGGTGATTTCCACAATCCAATGGTTCCAGAGGATGGTGGCCCACTGATAAGTTTCCCAGGATTCAGTGTCATCTGTACATAGGATGGTGGTCTACAGTCATGGTGTTTCCCAGGCTTTGGTGTCCCCTGAGGATTGCAGCCCAGGTGCATGGTGTTTCCAAGGATTTGGTCTCCTGTGTGGATGGTGGCCCACGGGCACAGTGTTTCCTGGGACTTAGTGTCCCCTTGGGAGGTAGCCCTTGGGGCTGCATTCCCAGGATTAGGGTGTCACCTAGGGAGAGCGGTGCACAGGCACGGCGCTTCCCAGGATTTGCGTGGGACCGAGCAGGACGAGCAAAAGCCGGGCAGCGAGAGCCCAGCTGGTTCTGGGGAAGCGCCTGGAGCCGCTCTGCTGCGAGCACTGGGGGAGCAAAAGGGAGTAGCATGCTTGGGTTGCTTGGTTTTAATCAAGGTTAATTGGAGCTAACGCTGCGTCGGCTCTGGCACACTGGTGGGAGAACAGAAATCCCAAAGATGCTTGTCCTGCATCCCGGTGAGGAAGCTCGCCAGTGTTTGAGCTGCTCAGCAGTGATTCGCAGGCTGGGCTATGTTTTGGTGCCCGCCTAAGTCAAACATACAGCAATTAGTAACTACCAAAACATCTTGATTCCTTAATTATTAATTACCATGCTGCTCAGTATGTGTTGCATAATATCCCCCTCGGTGTCCCTGATGTTTCCTGCCTCCTTCAGGCCTTCCCCAGGTCCCACCAGCCTGTTTAACCTCAGCTTTTCCAGTGCATAGGAGCTAAAGGTGGGTATCTGTTTCTGGGAGGCTGTGGGGGAGGACATGGATGAGCTGAGTCCAAGCCCAGGATGAAGGAGGGAGCATCAATACTTTAAACCTGCGGTGAGGTGACCCTGAGCCTCTCTTGGGAATTTAATTGGGAGTCTTGCTGTGTAAACATGAAGGATAGCGGTTTTGCCACAAATCTGTCTTCTGTTCATCTTGGAGTGGTGATTCCAACCCTCTGGCATACCAGTCTGAGGGTTTGGGCTGGATTTGTGTAGCTCAGGGTGCAGGAGAAAGTATCTCTTTGGAACAGAAAGGCCCTTGTTCCCTGGTTCTGCAAGGTCAGCCTTGGAAAGAGATTATTTTTCTCTGTGATGGGTCAGATCTTGGAGCGGGATCCTGCTGATACCAGCCAGGCTGAGCAGGGCTGGTGGCAGTGGGACATAGAGGGGACAGCAAGGATGGGCTGAGGGGCTTCTCCAGCCCCTTTGCAGTCTGCTCAGGGCTTTTTACTTACTAAAAAAACCTATTCATAAGAATTAGGAGACAATAGATCAGCTCACGCAAGTTCCACTCTCGGGAACAATCTCTCTTGGTACTTGCCAGCTTGCAGAAGGGATATGCTTCCTACTGGGTTGTCGTTCAAAGAGCAGCTCAGGAAAAACAACCCCCAGCAGCAGCACAGCCTTTGGGACTGGGAGCTGAGCTTTCCCTTGGCACGGGGGCCACTAGCTTCACCATGAACCCCATGGCACAGTGTGCTTCATAACCACTGGGCCAAAGGGAAGGGAGATTAAACAGGTTTTAAATGTCTAGAGCAAGCTTCACTGTTTCCATGAGGCATTTTCCTCACTGGCATTCCCCCTCTCAAGGCTGGCCATGGAGCACCCTGCCTGCTGCAGCTGGGATGTGCAGGACAAAGGTGTTGGGGTGTCCTCCTTGGGCCTTGGGGTGGCTTGCTGCTGGCTGTGTCACCCTGTGTGCCTCAGCCAGAGGACTTTCAGTGTTTGGCCAGGCTATCCCAGTAGTTCTGTTATACCTCAGTGTTTTACCCACTGCCGTGCTCATCTCCAGTCTCATTTTCTCTTCTTTCTGTCTGTTTGGAGCTGGATTTGGATGGTGAGTGACCAGAAGACTTTAAAGGATATCTGAGGAATCTCAAAAAATTTTACTTCACCCCTTTTTTTTTTAATCAAAGGAAAACTATTTCAATTTTTCTCCTTCCTGGTACATGACTGTGATTTCAAAAGTGTTTAAGCTTTGTTAAAGCCTTGGTGCCAGTGTGTTTTACCCGGCTTGTGTGGACTAGTTTAGAGCTGTTTAGGTTGTGCCAGCCTCCCTGTGAGAGGGGATATCCCTCCTGATGCTGCTCTTACAACCCAGCAGGCTTGAGCTTTCCTGGGGAAATGCTGCAATTTTCCATTCAGCCTTAAAAGACCTCTCAATCTCTCTCTGAGCTGCAAATTCAACAGGCACTTCAGTGCATTTCATTTAATGCTCATTTCCTCTTGTGTCACATATGTGAGCAGCCCTGCCAGATGAGATTGGAGAGTGGTGGTGAAGGAGAGAGATGAAATTGCTGCTAAACACTGGCAGATCCTGTTATCCAAAGCTCCTTCCTGAAGTGAGGATGCCTGCAGAGAGGGAGTTTGTGGTTAGACAAATTACATCAAACCAAACAAGATGCGTGTTAGGGGGATGCAGCTGAGCAAGATACAGATCCGGGGGGGGGGGGGGGGGGGGGGGGGGGGGGGGCGCTGAAGGATTTGTCTTTGAGCTATGAAATTCAAATTGGCATTAAAAAATGAAGGACACAGGGTGACATCCAGGACTTGCTAAAGTTATTAACTGAGCTCTTACTGCTGTTCTGGCGTTTTGGCTGGGGTGGGTGAAATAACTGCAGCTCACAGAGATGGGACCTCACGTAGGCTTCAGTATGCTTGCCTGGACACTGTTCTTTTTGCAGGCTGAGGGTTGCCCCTGGTGCCTAAGTTTGGCATCAAATGTGGTTTAATTTGGAAATACCCAGGGACAGAAATCATAATATTGGAAGAAAATAAAACTTTTTACATCAACTTTTATTTTTCTTTTTTTTTTTCAAGATAGGCTCTTTACATAGTGCAGTGTCCTAAATCACCTTATATGATATCCCTTTAAGTCACAGAATCCCAGAATGGTTTGGGTTGGAAGGGATCTTAAAGCTCATCTCATTCTGCCCCATGGTTGCCCCATCTCTGGAAGTGTTCCAGGCCAGGTTGTACAGGCTTGGAGCAACCTGGGATACTGGAAGGGAGTGGAACAAGATGTGCTTTAAGGTCTCTTCCAACCCAAACCACTCTGTGATTCTGTGATTTCTAAGAGGATCAGGGTGTGTGTGGAAAAATCTAAACCATTTCAGTGTTGTGGCTGCACCAAAGCCAGTATTGTGTTTGAAAAGAGCCTGTTGGACAATCCCAGTTTGATTAACCTCTCCTCTGCCCCTTCCAGCCCCAAAGCACCCCTCCCCAAGGGTGTGAAGTCCAACCCCTCCAAGCGGCACAGGGAGCGGCTGAACCAGGAGCTGAACGAGCTGATGGGGCTGCTGCCCTTCCCCGAGGATGTGTGCTCCAGGCTGGATAAACTCTCCATCCTCCGGCTGGCCGTGGGCTACCTGAAGGTGAAGAGCTACCTGATGGGTAAGTGTCCATGCTGGGACGGGGGGAAAGCCCCTGGAATCAATCCCCAATGCACAGCTTGTGTTCTACCCCAAGCTTTGGGATGGGAAGTTGTGTTTCCTGAAGGAAACATGATGGTGAGTTATGGGAGCAGGCCCTTGAATGTTGATACTGGCAAGAAAATGTCACCATGGATGGTGGGAGACACTTGGGAGCCTGCCCAGCAACTGAGACCTCCTGCAAATTTCCTCCATCTCATTAGCAGCCATCCTTTATGTCCAAAACTCCTCCTGTGTTGCACTCCCAGCACCCTGTAGAGAAGAGCTGGGTAAAACAGTGTCTTGTTGAACTGCAACAATGCCCTCATCTAACTGGAATGGCAATTTGAAATTAAATTCATTAAATAATTGAATGTTCATAATATAATACATATTGCATGTTCCCTTTTATTATATTTCATATTCTGTATTTTCTTATTTATTCCATATTTGGTATTCTTATATTTCCATATTCCTTCTCCTTCCCTCCCTATTCTTCTTCAACCCTTTATTATTATTAGATTTACAGTATGTTTAATAAATTTTAACATTACATATGGTGCAGAGCCTGACTGGGAGCAGTCATCACATTGCCAGAAGCCACCAGAACATGCAGACAGGGACATGTTCCCTCTTCAGTGACCTGGGCCTGATGGAATGGGCGATGGACACTGGGGAAGGCAGAGCATGTGGGGCAGGAAGGCAGCAGCAGATTTTTATATTTAGAGGCTCTTATTGCATCTTCTCCCCACCACAGATTGGATAAACTTGGCTCCCTTGGTTTTTCCCTCATGCCCACTCCTCTGGGCTCTCCCAGGGCCCTCTTCAGCTGGGATGAGGCTTCAGAAGGAGACTCCTGGCCAGACTCTCCAGATGGGACCTGTGCCTCCAAGCAGGAGCTGGTTCCCAGTGGATGTGCTCAGCGTGTGCTTCCCAGCAAGAGAGCTGCTCTGGAAAAGCATTTGGCATTGCAGGGGTTCTGGAGTCCTGTTCTGCCGGTCACTTATTCCCATCTGGTCACCACTTGCCTGTGATTTCCAGCTCCTTCCCCTTGCTCTGCCCCGAAGTTCATCTTGTTTGACTTCAGATCATCCCAGATACATCAGGGTGGGACTGGGTCACAGGCATGCCTGATGAAGAGCCGTGCCAACTGCAGGCCACAGCAGCCTGCTGCTGGCATGTCCTGTCAGGTATTTTGGGGGGACGTGCCGGCACCCTTTGTGCTCTGCTTCCTGCCTCAGGTTTGCTGTCCTGTGCTTTGTGCAGGCTCTTCTCCCCGAGCAGGAGAGCATGGCATCCTCTGAAGAGCATCCCAAGCCTCTCCCCATCCACAGCCCAAACCCAGCCTTATCTCCAGGCAGGAGAGAGATAGATGTTTTGATAGACTGGTAATTGCCTCATCTCCAGGCAATTGAGAGACCAATTGCTCAGTGGGCTCAGGGTGATGCCTTGAGGCTCCTTTTTCCCTTGTGCTGCATTTCTCCAGCCCTGGAGTGGAGCTTCCCGGTGTTGTCTGCGTCTTGTCTGGCTGCTAAGGCCAGGAGAAATCTGAGAAGGGGCTTCCAGCCTTCTCCACCTTCTCTGGTATTTCTGAGGTGTGGGTACTGTGTGCCTCTGGCTTGGGAACAGACCTGTTTAATGGGGTGTAGGAAGCCAGGCATCAGAGCCTGGGGCAGTGTTTAGGGTGGGACAGAGCAGAGGACAACCACAGTGGGTTTGGGTGCTCATATCAGTGCCTGCTTCCACAGCGGATATGAGGAAAGGGATTTGTCATCTTCATGGGATCCTGGTTTCTATTGCAGGATAGTGCCTCACTGCATCATCCTTTGAATCTGCTTTGCTTTTAAATATTATTCTCTATCTGTGCATTAACGAGAAACCAGACAAATTAGTAGTTTGCTGGAAATGTTAAGCTTCGAGCATAGAGAGGGACGCTCTGGGAGCTCCCTCCATGCCTCCAGGGGCTGATTCAGGTTGTGCACATCTGTAACTCCTCTGTGCCCTAGGGCAAACACTGCAGATGTTGCACAGCTCTCTGCTGCCTGGGATCTCAGCCTTCCCTGTGCAAAACCAGGGGGCTCAGGTCTTGGTCTCCTCAAGCTTTGCCCATCAGGCCCAGCCTGGGAGCAGTGCTGACAGCTCTGGCACTATCACTGCCTGCCTCAAAGGCACTTTAAAGGTTTTGTCACTCGTGTAATCAATGACTGAACCTCACTGCCAGATTTGTGCTGAGCTCTCTCTGCAAACCAATTTGCAGTGGTTGCTACTTGGACCTGTATCTGACGGCCTCCCAGACAAATCTGGAGTGACTTTGCTGATCCTGTCTCTTTGAGAGCAAGTGCCCAAGGAGGAAAGCTGGTGTCTGTGTTGCTGACTGCCACGATCCTCTGGCCTCTCTGTGGTGTGACAGGAGCCCCACTTGCTGCAAAGAGGGAGATCTCATGAAAGCTTGGATGGATTTTAGTGACTTGGTAAAGCTCCAGGTAGCTGGAGAGCTGTGCTGTGATTAGTTTCCTATGGTTCCTGTAACAAAGGAGGCAGATGTTGGGATTGCAGATTTGGCTCTGCCAAGGGTGAGCAAGAAAATGGGGGCTTAAAATGCTCTCTGAGGTGGAGAAGGTGTGATTAGGAAATGTGCTGCCATGCTTTCTTCCTAAGACTCCAGGGAGGGAGGTCTGCAAGAGGAAGGATTACAGAGTCCCAGACTGGTTTGAGGAAGTTCATCCTGGTTGGAAGGAAATTCATCCCATTCCACCCCCTGCCATGGGCAGGGACATCTCCCACTATCCTAGAGTGCTCCAAGCCCTGTCCAACCTGGTCTGAAAATCTTCCAGGGATGGAGTACCCACAGCTGCTCTGGTAATCTGTGCCAGGGCCTCACCATCGTCACAGGGAATAATTCTTTCCCAACATCCAACTTAACCCAATCTCTTTCAGAACCCATATAAAATCCTGTCGTGGTGTGAGACCACACTCTGGAGTCTGGCAAAGCTTGAGATAATCTAACAGCTCCTAGCAAACAGTGAACAGTGGGCTACCTTCCCATGCAGCTGACCTGGCTGGAGCAGGGGCTGGGTTTAGGAGGTCTCACCAGGTCCTTTTCCACCTCTGGTGCTGGTCTCACCAGTTCAGTCCCCAGTGCTCTGCTGCAGGGCAGCTGACAGCAGGTAATCTCACTGGTAATCTCCCTGGGTAATCTCACTGCAATCAGCACTAAATTAGCTTTGTTATTCACCTCGTCTTTGTTGTTACCAGAGCTGGCTGTTGGGCCACAGCTGCAGGGCTCTGGGCCTGAAGTACTGAGGCAGTGAAAGGAGTCAAGCTCAAGTCTGTCCCCGGGCAAGATCCTGCAGGACTGTGTGGGATGAAGATTTGCAGCAGCAGGCTGGAGAGGCTGATGTGGACTTGGGGATGCCAGTGCTCCCCAGAGCATTTCTGTGCTCCTTGGAAAACACTGAGTGGCTTTTCCAAATAGTTTATAATCTGTGGATTTGGCATTTGTCTTTTTCACTTGGATGGCATGAGCCTGCTCTGCTTGGCACCGTACCTTTGTTAAACAGATGAGGCAAAGGTTAGTGCTAATTGACAGGGTTTGGGATTGGATCCAAGATGAAAATGGTTGTGCCTGGCTTGGTGTTACTTGAAGAGTTGGGAGCTCCTGTTTTTTGGATGCCAGGCACCTCTAGAGCCTGTTCAAAGAGAAGTGTTTGCCATGCGTGAAGCTTATCAACTCCCCCCAGTGTAACCCAGTCTGAGAGAGAAGATCTCGCTCCTGGGTTGTTACCAAGAACCTTTTATTTTCAGCACCAAATCTATTCCAGAGGCAAGAGATGTGTTTTAGCCTCCATGTCTGCCTTGCCCATCATATTCTCTTTCTTCAGGAATGTGATGGGCAAAATAGTGAAAAGATTAGATGACTTTGCTCCTTCTTCCTTCTTTCTCCCGCTGGAATTTTTTCCTCCATTGCAGGGCTTAGGAACCTGCTTGCAGAGGCAAGAAAGCCAACCCATAGCGGGGTGCTCTTGGGGATGTATGGGGCACATCCTGATTCATTGATGCTGGAAGCTCTGTTGATCCTGTCATCTTCCCTGGCTGAGTGAAAGACTTGCAGTTTTTGGGGATCACACCAGCAGGGGGAAACCTGTAGTGCTCTAGCTGGTTCAGGACAGAGCTGGATTGTCTCCTACTGTCTTAAAAATTACACACAGCCTCTGTCCCAGCACTTTGAAAATGTAAGTGATCACCACACTGCTCCAGCAGATGCCTGGGACTTACCTGGTAATGCAGATGGCTTTTGCCACGGTCTTTTTTATAGAATTACAGAATCATTAAGCTTGGAAAAGACCTCTACAATCATCAAGTCCAACCATTAACCCAGCACTGTAAAGCCCACCACTAACCCATGTCCCTAAGCACCACCTGTTGATTCCCATTAATTGTCCAAGATGCAGTGCAGGAGATGGAAAAAACTTGGCACAAACGGCAAAAGTGAATTGTCCTATTACCAGTTACTTTTGTTGTTGTGGGTATATTATAGATTGGGTACATGTTGGACACGTTTCCTTTAATCCCATTAATTTGTGGTCTCAGCTGCTTTGTGTGGGAGTCTGAACTGCTCCATTAGAAGGAGTGTGTTAAATGGGATTAATTAGCCAGCTTTTAATACAGCTTGTCACCTGCTTTGTCCTGCCTAGCAGCCAGTGGGGGGTCTCTTCCTCCTGCCAGCCACTGCTTCCAGTCCATCTTAGCCATTGGCCCCTTGGAGACCTGGCTTCAGCAGGCTGAGGAATCCATAGCTTCGGGTGGGATTCCAGAAGGTGTCATCTCCCCATCTTGTTTCAAGCGAGGGGATGTTTTAGGAGTGACCCCTCTCTCCCATGAGGTTTCCTGTGTTGTAAATGAGCTGGGATATGGTTAAAATGTTGGGGTTTCCCTTCCAAGTCAAAAAGTGACTGGGAATAGCCTCTGTGCCCTTGGTGGTTGTATGGATCTGGAGTCCTCTGCCTGGAAGTGCTTGGGTTTCTCTTGGGATTGCTCCCAATGCCAGTGGTTCTTGGCAGTTTGAGTGAGGATGAGTTCAGAGACTTGTTTGCAGGAGGAGAGCCACAGGAACAACATGGCCCCTGGCTGTGGATGGGGAGAACTGGGCTGGATATGATCACCAGCTGCTCCATACCACCAGTACTTTGGTGGCAGACAACATCTCTTTGAGTTTCCTCCCCTCTCTCCATGCTACAGATCTTTTCCCCAGGTCAGGTGTGTCCCATAGGAGACAAATTCTGGAGGATTTTTGAGCTCAGTTCTGCAGAAATTGACTGCTCTGTGTTTGAGAGAAGGGGAAGTGAGCACCTTTTTGGTGGGAGATAAAAAGCCCCTTGCTAAGATCAGTGGGAGAGGTGAAAAAATTTTGCTTGAAAGCACAAAATGGGTATTTCCGGCTGGATTCTGAAAGCCACAGCAGCTCTCCCCAGCTTTCCCTGCAGATACTGCTGATGAATGCTGGGAGAGAGCTGGAGACCAGATGCTCTCAGGATGTGCATGCTCTCAAAAAGTTCTGTGCCCTTTTGGAGCTTTATTTTGGAAGAACTTGCTTCTTTTTTAAATCCCCTGCCAGCCTGCCTCATTTCAATGCTTTAGAGAGGAGTCAACCCTTCAAAGGAAATAAAAATTTAAATGAGAATCGGTGTTTCATTTTGAAACTATTACACTCCATGAAGTGTAAATTGAAGCCATGTGGTCCAGATGGGATTTTTTCCTTGAGGATCACTTGGCAGTCATGTGAAGGGGCTTTTTGCTTGGTGTCTCCAAGCAAAGATTCTGTTGAATCTCATCTTTCCCAGCCTTTCTTAGAGGTCTCACATCCCCTGAGGAGGCTGGTCTGCCAGCACAGGATGGAAAAGAGCAGAAGCCATGACTGATGGATAAGGTGGAGATGCTGAAGGTTTGAGGGAGCGAGAAGTATCCCAGCTCTCCCAGAGATGGAGATGGAGGCTGACTCTGCTCCAGAGCACCCTCTCCACTGCTATTTGTGTCACCTTATGCAAGACCTGCAGCTAGTTACCCCAACCCTACTGTATCCATGTCCTGGTTGATGAAAGCCTCCATGGGTGGGTGCTTGTTGGCACTCGGGCTCTGGGTATAAATACATCCCAGAGATGCTTTGATTCCAAATTAGTTTTGAATTCAAACATGCCAATCCATCAGGTTTGCTGCAAAGCAAAATGTCCCAGATCAGCAGTTGCACGTGAAACTTCTTTAGATTCCAAATTTGGTTTTGAACTTGGTGTTACCAGGGAAGAAACCAAACAAACCTTAAAAGCATTTCAGTGGTGAAGTGAGAGCTTCTGCCATGGAGAAAATTAAATGTATGGTCAGACTTGGGATGGTTTGAGGTTCTTCCTCATATCCAGCATTCAGAGGCTCTTTTCCCTTTGGATCCAGCACCATCTGACACCTGGGGCTGAGATGGGGCAGACAGTGCTCTCTGCTGGGATGGGAATTACACAGAGTATATGAGATCAGTCAGACCTCAGGGAGCTGCACAAGCTGGTGGTGGTGGTGGCAGAGGTGGGCTGGTTCCTACAGGGGAGCTGCTCTGAGCTTTTCTGTGATTTTCCCTTTTTTTGTGTGTGAGCTGGCACAAAAACATGTCTTGAAAATCATCCTTTTGCTGTCAGCTGAGCTCGCATTGAGTTTTTTCAACGATAATCAGCAGATAAAGGATCATGCTGGAGATCTGCCTGGGAGCCTCTGTCCTCATTCATTTTCCCTGAACAACTGGTTCTGTGGGAGTCCTGTGATGCTTGAGGTCCCACAAGCAGGGCAGCAGGAGGTTTCATGCTGGCTGCACCCGGAGGTGTTGCCTTGAAGGCATCCAGTGCTGAAGCATGAGGCAGCTCCTGAATCAGCCTAGGGAGGTCATGGCAGCAAGTCCTGGGAGCCGAGAGCTCTCGGGTGTCACTGGGAGTGCCATGGCCACCAGCTCTTGATCTGCTTCCAGGCAGCCAAAGGTGGAAGGGAGAAAACAAGTATGGGTGCTTTGATGGCATCTAAGGTGCTTTGAGAAGGTTTGTTTCTGTCATTCTCTAACCCTGAAGGGCAGCAGAGCAGACAGAGCACCCTAGTGGGGTGGCTTGAAGCCAACTCCAACTCTGCAAGGCCCTAACCAGAAGCCTCCTGGCTGTGTTGGGTGGTGTTCTCCAGCCTGGGCAGCACAGAAGCACTCGGCCCCCCTCTGTCCTTTGCACCTCTGCCTCACACCCTGGCAGGAGTGAGGTTTCCCAGAAATGAGATCAAGCAGGGGAAAGAATCTCTTGGAGGAAGCCTCGGGCAAACTGGGCATGGCTCAGTAGGTGGGCTCTGTGCCAGGTCCCACCGATGGTCACACCTTCCTCCATGCTGCGCTGGGTCCATGGCATCCAGTAGCTGCATCAGCAGCCCTGGGGTGGGAAGGAGGAGTGAGAGGCTCCTGCCTCACCTCTTCCACGCTAATTTCTTGCCTTCTCACTTACAGCTACAGCTCCAAACGTTGGTAACCACGTGAATCAGCCCAGACTCCCAGGAGGGGACAGATGGATGGAGCTGCAAGGTGACAGGGAGCTGTTTCCTGAGGGGGAGCTGCTGCTCCAGGTATGGTGCTATGGCTTAGTCATTTGGGTCTCCACAAGCTTCTCTGGAGCTTGTGGTTGCATCTGTGGAGCAGGAGGAGACCCTGCCTTGCCCAGAGCTGCTTCACTGTGATTCCTGCAGGCAATGAGTTCCTGGGCACAGAGACCAGTGGCACTGCCTGGCTGGGATGGGTCCAGATCCCCATTCCCACCATTCCCTCTCATCCCACAGCAATTTGCAGCCCATTTGTTTATGTTACATCTCATAGACACAGCTCCATCATCCCGACCAAGAGGTTCAAGGATGCCATTTGGTGGTGTAAGGATTGATCCCTGAGTAGTTCCCAAGGTGCTGGGTTGGTTCATTCAAGAGGAGAATGTTGAGAGCTGTGGGACAAAACATCCCCCAGGAACTCCTTGCCTTATCTGGGGCATTGTGTGAGCTCTGTAGGGATGAGTTCACAGCCTGCCTAGGATTGGAAAAGCCCAGCTTTAGTTTGTAGGTTTTGGGGGAGAAAAGAAGAGCAGTTGGATGTTGGACAACAGCGGTGGACAAAACCAGTGGGAAATGAGATCTATGCTTTGTAGAAAGGTCACATGTGTCTCATGAAATAGCTGACAGTGAAGCTCAGAGCAAAAGGGCCTGGTGAATCGGCCTCCCACAATGCTGCTGGTTTGGGCTGCCATTTATAAATGTGAGCTGGAAGGGCCTGGCATGGAAAGTCACATGGAAAGGCTGACTGCTGAACAAGCATCTGGGCACATCAGCTGAGGAGCATGCTTACTGGGGCTGCAGGACGAGTCTGTGCAAGACCTTCAATCATTCTGTGTTCTTGGCATCTCCCATGCCTGGGCTTTCACAGAATCCCAGAATGGTTTGGGTGGGAAGGGACCTTAGAGCTCATCTTGTGATGAGCTGCCATGGGCATGGACAACTTCCACTATGCCAGGTTGCTCCAAGCCCTGTCCAGCCTGGTCTTGGGCACTTCCAGTTATCCAATGGGAACCACAGCTTCTCTGGGCACCCTGTGCCAGGGCCTGCCCACCTTCTCCAGCTCTCCTGTAGGTTTTCTGGGCCTTCAGTCCTCTTCTCCCGCCTCTCCAAACACCAGCAGATGAATGCTTGGCTCTCTTTAAGCCTGGCTTTGGTCTCTTCAGCCCTGCTCCTGCAGAGCCCTCCAGACAGCAGGCAGTGTGAGCAAACCCCCAACAGGAGCCTCTATGTGGGATTTTGGTGAGGCAGTGATTCCTGGGAGCTCAGTGTGACTTTTGGCAGTGAATGTTGGACCACACCAGGTCCCCCACAGTCCCAGCTGTGTGCGAGTGTGATGGTCACAGAGGAGCAGCTGGATGCCAGGAGGGAGCCCGTGACTGCCCCAGCATCCCCTGAGCACTCCCTAGGGCTTTGGACTTGGACCATATGATGGGAATTTGTTGAGCGATCAACATCAGAGCATTGGCAGGCTGGGGCGACTGAAGGCATATGGAGAGCTTATGAGGTGTTACTGTGACAGAAATCCTCCTGCTGAGCTGTCTGGTGGCTTTTTTCCCTCCCCACAAAGACAATTTTAAACATATACTGCAATTTGCAGAAATCTCTGACTTGGAATCCCTCAGGGGGCTGCAGCACACAAAGGGAAGGGACTGGTCCCTCAGCAAGCTGGATCTGTAACGCTTCCATTTAGGGTGTTCTTTCCCTGATTTCTCTCCTTCCATTCACTAATAAATTAAACATATCACAGTGAAGAACAGGGTGCATGAGTTACTATCTAGTGCAGTGCTTTGCTTTTGGGGGAAATCAGCCTGAAATGGTCACCAGAATCATAGAATGTGCAGAGCTGGAAAGGACCCACAAAGATCATTGTGTCCAAAGCACAGCCCTAGGAGAGTATAGCTATTCCCAGCTGGAAAAGAGGACTCCAGATCCTCCATGAAACCTCTCCTTATCTGGACCCACCTGATGTAGGAGCTGCCCTGCAGTGAGAGGGCGTTCCATGGGAGGTTTGGAGAAAGTGGTCAGTCCAGCTTGGATCATTGCTTGTGCTAAGAAACTCCACAGAACTGAATTCTGCATAGTTACCAAGTGCTGTCCTTTTTTGTGGGGCTCCTTGTTGAGGAAGAAGGTCCCTTCCTGTCCCTGGATGCTGAAGAAGCAGCTGGGGGATTTCATTGTTCAGCAGCTGGATTGAAGCTGGGCAGAGTAAGTTTGGACTCAACTTCTCCTTTCAGGCACTCAATGGATTTGTCATCGCCGTGACTGGAGACGGCTACATCTTCTACATCTCCCCTACCATGCAGGCCTACTTGGGCTTCCACCAGGTGAGTACCATGTTTTCCTGTCTGGGAGCAGATGGATGCAGTCCTGATGTGGGGAGGAGATGCAGATGGAGGGCAAAGCTTCCCAAAGGGCAGCAGCTCCTATGGCAGGGGAAGGAGCTGGAGTTTGCCTGTTCTTTACACTCAGTCCTGCACTTCTAGTGCTCAGGAAATCTTCTGCCATGTCCTCCTCCCGACACCTCTGCCAGGCTGTCCAGGAGCAGGCACTATTCTGTTTTGTCATTCCAGTCGGATCTCATCTACCAGAGCATGTACGAGCTGATCCATGCAGACGACAGGGCCATCTTCCACCGCCAGCTGCACAGGACCCCACTGCATGCTGCTGACAGTGAGTGCCAGGGTGATCCCTGCAGGGGTTGAGCAGCTCTGATCCACAAGCTCATGATGTGCAGTGCAGTTTGGAAAACTTCCTTTCGCTTTTGCTTTTCCAGCTTTTCCCCCTGAGCAGCCGCTTCTTGCCAGATGCAGTGCCACGTCCAGCCCCCAGCACCTCCATGCTGAGAAGCAATCCTTCGTGGAGAGGAGCTTCTCCTGCCGCTTCCGCTGCCTGCTGGATAACTCCTCGGGATTCTTGGTAATGCTGCCACACCCTTCTGCTCCTCCTGTGCCTGCAGGGTGTTCCCCCAGAGCCACTTTTGTCCCATAGGGATGAGAGCACAGCCAGTTCCCACCACCCTGTTTGCTTCACACCCACGTTTTCTAATACTTGTAAGGCCTTGAATTTCCATGGGCGCCTGAAGTTCCTTCTTGGGTAGCAAAAGTCAGCAGCAGACAAATCCCCAGTTGCTCTCTTTGCCATTGCCACACTCCTCCAGCCTCTCTCCGTCCTGGAGCTCCAGACCAAAACACTGATCTTCCAGAAAAAGCACAAGCTGGACTTCACTCCAAAGGCCTGTGATTCCCAGTAAGGCATCTCTCACTTTCCCTGTGGCAAAATCCCCAGTGCTGGACAGAAAACTAGACCTGGTGGGGACAAGGAACACCTGACCCAGCTCCCATGGCCTGATGTTTTTGTCCCTCTACTGCAGGCCCCCAGTAACACAGGGAGCAGGTTAACGGGGCACCAGCACTTCTTGTCTGCTGTGGTTTGCGTGGTTTGTGGAACAGGGGATGCAGCTCAGCCCAGGGTGGAGCGTTGCACCACCCAAAGTGGGGGTCTGGCCAATGGGGTGCAACTGTGGGGGATGCATTCCTGGTGTCACTGCATTCCTGTGCTGATTCCAGGGGGAAGGTTGTCCTGGGATACACGGAAGTGGAGCTGTGCAGGAGGGGGTCGGGATACCAGTTTGCTCATACAGCTGACGTGATGCACTGTGCAGAGCACCACGTGAGAAGTGAGTGCTGGGGGGCTGTTGGGGGGATGTCTGTGGGGTCCCTCAAGGCTCTGGCTGTACTATTGCTCCTTGGTGCTGTCCGTCCTGGGGCTGGAGCAGCTGTGACAAAGACTCTTCCTCCTGGATGAGCTCAGGGAGCTGGCAGAGAGATGGCACACTGCATCTCCTGCCCCCGTAGCACAGCCACAAGGTGATACTCAACCTTGTAGCATCTTGCATGTGTCATTTGTCTGCCTCTGTGGAGGAGCTCTGTCTGTGGCACTTTTTTTGTGTCCCTGCCCCAGTGATGAAGACAGGGGAGAGTGGGTTGACAGTGCTCTGGCTCCTGACCAAGAGGGGCAGCTGGCTGTGGGTGCAGGCCAGCGCACATCTGGTGTACAAAGGAGACAGGCCCAACTGCATCATCGCCCACCAGCGAGCCCTGTCGTGCATATTGCTGGCCCCCTTCAGCTGCTCTGGGCATGGGGAGCTGCCTGAGGCACATGCAGAGGCCATGAAGGTGGAGGAAAGGGTAAGTGAGGTTGGCACTTTTCAGCATTTGTCCTGCTGTAGTGTGAGTGAAACAGCTCTGAGGAGGTGGTTGTGGACATGCTCCTACCTGGGAGCAGCAGCCCTTCCCTGAGCCATGCAGACCTCCCTGTGGGCTCCCCAGAGCCCTCTTGTAGCCAGTCCAATCCAGCCCTCTTTTACTCTAGAAAAGCCAGGGCAGGGCTGTGAGTTCCCCTCGTGCTGTCAGAAGGGTGGTTTTGTCTGGCCTGGAGGAGCTGCTCATGCTGTTTCCATCCATTTTTGCCTCCACACTGAAGGAATGAAGAAGGGGAGGAACATCTCCAGAAGAGAAACCTGCAGCTGCCTTTCAGCTTTGCCACAGGGGAAGCAGTCTTGTATGGGAATGACCTTCCTGAGTTCTTGGATTCATTCCAAACCAAGGAGGAGTTGCAGGTGCAAGCAAACTCTGAGTCAGAGCAGTGCTTGGTAGACCCCAACTCTCTCCTTGGGGCCATGATGAAGCAGGATGCATCCATATACAATTCCCACGCTGATAACGTGCCTCAGTTTTCCCTGCTAGGTGTCATCCCTGAGCCTGATGGGCTGACTCAGAATGAGGATGTCAGCAGTGCCAAGGAGGACAGCGACTCCCTCCTGGTGGTCATCGAATCCCTCTTTGAGAAGAGTGAGGTGGATGCAAACGTCTGCCAGACCCTAAATGTGGACAGCACAGAGCTGCAGCAGTGGGAGGAAGCTCTGCTCAGCCTGGGGGCAGAGGAGGAGTCACTAGCTCAGGGGCTTGGCCAGAGGCCGGGCACCAAGGTGACATCCTATATGGAGCAGATGCTCCTTAGGGAGAGTGTTGGAACGAGCCTGGACTTCCAACACTGCCATGAGGAAAACAGTGCTATGGCTCACTTCCAGCGCTGCTGGGCAGCTGGTTCAGCATTCCCAGCACAGCCCCAGGCAGCAGGCACATGGGGAGGCCAGGGGGCTGTGGGCTCCGTAGCCTCCGTGACCTCTGAGGGCAGTTTTGCCCAGCCAGAGCAGCAGGTCCCATTTAACCCAGCCAGGCTGATGGCAGGGACTGTGCTAGGTGTCCTCATCTCCAGCAGAAAATCCTCTGCAGCACTTCAGCTGGCAAACCAAGCATTTCAGGCAGAAGCTACCCCCTCTGGTCCTGTAGATAATACTCTTCCGACTGCGCAGAGGCAGTCTGGGTGCCAGCTGGTGGGCTCAAGCTGCTCACCCCCAGTGCACTCAAACAAGATGGTGACTCTGTGGCACAATGTCTTCCTCCAGGCAAACCCAGCCAGTTACCCATTGGAGGCTTTGCCGGCCATAGTTCCACAACAGCTGGAAGCTGCAGGAGCATACATGGAGTGCCAGACTCTGCCAGATGGCAGTCCTGAGAATTCCCTGGGAGCTGGGCTCTGGTGGCCACCCCCTTCCCAGTCTTTTCCTTGCCCTGCCCAGGGCTTGCATGAGTCCCTGTTCTCTAGGGATGGGAAGCTCTATGATGTGGAGGCTGCTCTCCCTGCACCCTTAGGAGCCAGGCAGCTGCCAGGGCATGGCAGCTTTCCCAAAGAGCCCCTGGTAGCCCATGTAGACCCCAGATTTTCCTGGAAGGTGGAGCAGGCAGTGCTCCGAGAGGAAAAGGGGTTCTCAGAGGCTGGGGCAGCTCCTCAGAGGAGCCATGGGGCAGGGCCAGTGCACCACAGCAGACTCCTGCTGAGATCCAGCATGGATCCCAGCACCCACCAGAAGGACTGCTTTGTGCTGTCCAAGTACCATTATGGAAACAGCCTTTTTAGGCATGAGAGCAATTTCCTGAGGGATGCTGCTAAAGTACCCCTTCCACAGCAGCCAGGTGCCTTGCCTTGCCCTGCTGAGAACCACCCTGGAGCACCCTCCTCCTCGCCGGGCTCAGTTTCAAGATGCTCAGCAGCTCTCCCTGTGAAGGTAGGTGCAGGAGCACCTGTGAGATCCAGCTCAAGGTGAGGTGTGAGGGCTGCAGGACCTGAGGGGTGCCCAGCTCCTGTGGAGGTCTATTGTTGTCCTGGCTTGTAAGATAAGCATGTATTCTATTTGCCATCTGTTGGAGGTTGGACAGTTTTCTTATCTCTTTCAGTAACAATGTCTCCCCCTGGGAAGATATCTTCTGTTAATGGACCATTAAATGACTCACTGCATGACTGGTAAATCTACATCATCCCATGGTGAGATGCTCCACCCAGAAGGAGGAGCCAAGCATCCCTACCTGCATAAAATCAGCATTTTTTGGGACACCAAGGCAGCCCTTTGCTGGATTCCTAGAGGAGCAGCTTTCTTCTCTGCTGGATTCCCAGAGGAAGACCAGGCCCAACTATTACCAGGCCTTCAGAGAAAACTACACCCTTCTACATACAGATCCCCGCTTCAGCAGCAGTTCATCTTCCACTCCAGGAGGAGCAGCCACCATTTAACTGGACTACTACCAACACCCTGACTCCTCAGGGTATCAGGTTTCTGACTCTATCACTAGTTTAGTTTTTACTAATTACATTTTTATTCTTATTATTTTTACTTAGTTTTTCTCCTAGTAAAGAACTGTTGTTCCCATTCCCATATTTTTGCCTGAGAGCCTTTTAATTTTGAAATTGTGGCAATTTGGAAGGAGGTGGTTTACCTTTTCTATTTCACAGGAGGCTTTTGCCTTCCTTCACAGACTCCTGTCTTTTCAAACCAAGACAATTATAAATGCAGGCAAACCCAATGGGAAGAAATGATGATGTCTGACTCAATTCAGAAGGCTGAATGATTTCTTTATTATAACTATGCTAAAATACATTAATATATGATATAAAAAGGAAGATACTAAAACTACATACTACTTTCTCTAACTCTAACACAACTCGTGACCCTCTCTCCAGAGTCCAGCCCCAGGTGGGTTGGATTGGCCATCAGGCTCAAACAATCCTCACCAGAATCCAATCAAGCACTCACTCCAGGTAAACAATTCTCCAAACACATTCCACATATGAAAAACAAGGAGCAGAAATAGAAATTGTTTTCTCTTTCATTTCTCTCTGTGCACCTCTGTGAAAAATCCTGAGAGTGAGAGAAACATGCTTGCCACAGAGGTCTGCCAGCGGTGTAGCTACACCATCCTTTGTGGGCCGCCTGCTTTGGAACTCCATGTGAACCAGGAGTCCTGTCTTGGAAAGCCAGGAGCAGCTGTGAGCTCTTCTCATACCTGCCAGCTGTGCCCCATGCTCCCTGGTCTGTCAGGGTTTTGTTAGGCAGTCTAAGATGAAGTGGTTTGGACTTTCTGTTCCATGAGAAGTCTTTCAGGGAAATGCAGCTGTGCCACTGGGGAGGCTTGTGGGTTTCTGGGGTCCAAGGAAGGACATTGCTTGCTGGCACATGCATGTGCTGGGGGCAGCCTCTTGCAAATGGAGCTGCTGCCTCACAGGCAGGTAGCATTGAGCTGCTGTTTCTCAACAAAATAGCATGGTCTCCTCATCTCCTGTGTTGGACCACCCTTGCCATGTTGCTGTTTAGTCGCCTGCATCATCTCAGCTGGCCTGAGCCTCTTTTCCTCCTGCGCTCTCCATCTCCTCCAGAGACCATCCAAATCCTTTGGAAAAGATGTTACCAAGCACTTCAAGAATGCTCAGCAGCATTGAAGGGTCTCAGTGAGAGGTGGAGGCATCTTGGGGATGTGGGGTCTCCAGCAGGCCTCCCAGGGAATTTGGGAGAGGTGGGTACCAGGCATTGTGACTTTTCTGGGATGCAGGGTGGGGAAGGTCCAGCCAAGCTCTCCTTGGGTTTGTCACTGGCTTGTCCTTGTCATCCTCTACTCCACAGGGCCGTGGGACAGAGAAGAGTGAGAATTCCCCCTGTGGAGGAAAGGAAGGAAAGGCAGGGAGGGATGCACTGACCACTGGCTGCCTCTCTGCTTCAGACCTACTTGGTGCCCCTCAACCATTGTTCTGCAGCCCAGAACAACCACTTTGTTGAATTTTCTTCCTTTTCTATATATGTAACCTAAGATGTGAATGAATTGTTTTTTTCCCCAACATGAGAGCAAAGTCTTGCAGATCCATCAGGGAAATCCACAAAAAAAGCAATGATTTTTTTGGGGAGGGAGGGTGGGGATGATTTGAGACCACACTGACTTGCAACATTGGGTTAGAGAGATCAGAGTTCTTGGGAACATTCACAGCTTCTCCTCATGCACCCATCACCCTGAGCATCACATCTGCCTTGCACACCAGTGTTAAGCATTTATGGATCAAATTAAATTGGGCAATTAGCTCAGGGCCAGCAGCAAGCCTACATGTCCTGGTGTAGAATGGCCTCATCTCCCTGGGTCTCATCCTTCATGCCCAGCTTTGCCTCTGCTCATGGGGCCTGGGAAAGGTCAAGCTCCTCTCTGCAGGCTGGGAGCAGAGCAATGCTGAAACGTGCTGGACCACTCTAAGGTGGCTTTGAGGAGCACCTAGGTCAGGCAAGGAGTTGACTGGCCATGATCCAGATCCAAAAAGCAGCAGGATGGACTTTGCTTACTAGCCTCTGTTGTTCTGGTGCCTGTGAGACAGTGCTGGGGGCGTACCAGGGGTTCCCTGTGCTGCAAGAGATGGGCCTTGGGGTGGGGGCTCTGCTGCTTGGGGCTGTGACAGATGGGGGGGGGGGTGGGTCTGTCTATCTTCTGCCACTAGTGTCTGATCTCTCTGTACCTCGTGGCTGTACAGCTAAAGTCTGTTCTGGTAGCAGCATCTCATTTTCTGCTCCATGATTTCTTTGTGCTGCTGGTGGCAGCTGGAAGATGCTGAGGAGAAAAGAGCTGTCCGGAGCCTCACCCCTGTGTTTGGTGATGTATTAAAAGGCAGTTTGCTTTGTGCTGATGTTTGTTTTGACCCAAAACCATGTCTCTCCATTTCCTCCTTGACTGAGCAAGTGCTGAGAAAAGCCTAGCCCTGGTGCTGGGTGGGTGACACTCTCATTGTCACTGTCCCCAGCTACTGTGGGCATGCACGACAGCAGAGACATGACAGTGTCCCCCCTTTGCACCCCCAAACTGCCCTGTGGGGTTGTGGGACTCACAGGCAGGGTTACACTTGTCATTGACACACATGGTTGTTAATATCTGACTATTAAAAATTATTACAGAGATGTGTCTACCCAAAATAAGGTGTAGATGGCACCATGTGCCAATAGCGTGGATTTTTATTTAACAGTAAACATGGGGGGGAGAGATGGAAAAGACAGGAAGGTGGAGAGAAAGTGACTGCAGACTACATCCATCGAGTGGTGAAGGGAAACAGTCCAACAATCGCATGCATGGAGTTTATATTCTGCTGAGGCTAGTGGGAGCATCGCCTGTACCTCTCCCTGGGGCGGTGATCTTCACACTGAATAATACTGTGGATCACGGAACACCTGGGGACTCTTTACACCTTCTGAGATGTTGCAGCTGTCTCCAAGTGAGCGTAGTTGAATTAATTATGGCCCATCAGTCGAGGCGGGTACCTTCAGCTTACGTGTGAATGTCCCCGTACTTGGGAAGGAGTTTTCACAGCTGAGGGAGGACATTGGCACGGAAAGGACTTGCTCCACATCGCAAATCTGCAAGCCTCGGGCGTGCGGCCCTTGCGCACCTGGCACCGGCAGAGCACCAGCGGCTTGTTCGAGCCATTGGCACCCACGGTCCAGTTCCCCCACCTCCACCATCCCTCACATCCCCACCCATCCCTCCCTCCCTGCTCCCCACAGCCCCTTCCCGCCCCAAATCCTCCTTCGCTCCCCTTCGCTTCCTCATTAACCCCCCGTGTCCCTCCTCCCTACTACCCTTCCTCCCCAGCAGCTCCCCCTTCAGCCCCCAAACCCCTCTATCGCCATCCGTCGCCCCCCGCAGCCCCAGATCCCGTCCATCGCCGTCTCCCCCCTCGCCGGGGGCGGGCCGTTCCCGCTCTCGCTGCCTCTCGCCCTGAGGGAGCGGCGCTCGGCCGCTGTCGGCCCGGCCATGTACGCGGGGCGCAGGCGGAGGAAGCCGGTGCCGCGGGCGTGAGTGAGGGCGAGAGGGCTGGGAAAGGGCTGAGGGGTATCCCCCTTCCCCGGTAACGCGGCTGTGCCCGGCAGGACGCGGCCGGGCCCGGCCGAAGGCGGCGACTCCAACCCGTCCAAGCGGCACCGGGCGCGGCTGAACCGGGAGCTGGAGCGGCTGGCAGGGCTGCTGCCCTTCCCGCCCGACGTGCTGGCCGGGCTGGACAAGCTCTCGGTGCTCCGCCTCAGCGCCGGCTTCCTGCGCGCCAGGAGCTTCTTGGGCGGTAAGGGATGGGCGCGTTCCCGCCGCTTCCATGCTCGCAGTTCCAGCCTGGAATTGTGTGCTGGCCACCTCCTCCCTCACCGCTGCCCGCTCCCGCGGCTGCGGCGCTCCCTCCCGGGGTGTTGTTGCGCCCTTCGGCAATTCCTTTCCCCCGCACTCTCTCCAGAACACTTCGTGGTTTTGTTTTCCTTCACATACTGTTTTTCACTTAGAATTTCTAGTGGTGGGCGGTTTGTTTTTTTGGGTTTGTTTGTTTTGTTCCCTAGAGTTTCATGAGGTCTCCCTCACCGAAAACATGTTTTCTCTCCCTCCCAGAACAGTGCTTTCTTTCACCCGTAGAATGTTTGGGGTTTCCTCCGCACTTTCAGGAGTTTCGTGTCGATCCCGCCTCGAATTTTTCGGGATTTTTTTTCTCTTCTCGAATTTTGACGGGTTTCCCCCACTTGAAGTGTGTGAGTTCTCCACCCTCGAATGCTTGTGTGTTTTAACAACGGCATTTTTTTTGTTTGGTTTTTGTTTTTTTTTTTTTTTTTTTTTTTTTTTTTTTTTTTTTTTTTTTTTTTTTTTTTTTTTTTTTTTTTTTTTTTTTT